TGCATGATATTTATATCATTTATTGGAAAGGTGTGTGTGTGTATGTGTGTGTGTGTGTGTGTGTGTGTGTGTGTGTGTGTGTGTGTGTGTGTGTGTGTGTGTGTGTGTGTTTGCGTTTGTTTGTTAGTGTGTGCGATATAGGTAGTAGTTCATCGCGACACAAATACGCGTGTCAGGTATCATGACGAATAGACCGTAGTGGTAATTACGCACACGAATAACATGTGTAAGTAGAAATGGCAAGCGTTAAAAGTGTACAGTTGTCTTTTATTTTTCTAGACAATATGTACAGTATTATGAAGTTTAGTATGAGTTGAAAATCAAAGCGTCGACAATCTCAATATATGCACGAAGAGAACATGATACGTTTGGAATTTGTAGTTGAATGGTACCTGCATAGTTCACCCAAATGTATTGATATGTTATTGTCAATGTATTCCGTGTCTACAGGTTCTCAAGAGTATTATTTTTAATGTTTTCAGTACTGCTAGTAAAACTGTTTAAAAAAAGGTATGGTACCTCTCAAAGGATTATGAAGTCCAGTCCGCTGAGAGATTGTTATCATACTCTCAATTTTTGTGGGTAGTCCGAACCTTTTGGGCTTGGTAAGGACGCTCATTAGTAAAAATCCAAAGGCCGCTACCAGCCTTTATGTGACACATGTTTGGATCTAGCCCATAATGTCCACATGTGACTGTCTAGTACATACGTTGAACAGCACTACAGTCAACTAATGCCAGAGACCTACTGACTTAAGCTGAAGTGAAGTTCTCAAAGATCATTTCGTAGTTCTCAAGTCGTTACATCGAGCCTGTATGGATCTGAACACTGTTTTAAAGAAATCCTTAGGCTCTTCAAGTTCATTGTTATCCCAAATAAACTCTCTCTGCTTGCTCTGTGTTCAAACTCTGAGTGGTAAGATGCATAATATAATAAATCTTATTATTTTGAAAACTATTAAAGCAAGTTGAGTTTGTCTTCTTTTCGCTTTATCATACGCCTCACTTCGGTTAAAGTGTCAACCGTTGCGAAAGAATATCTGTATCCTTCTGGGCGTTAGTTAGTTAGCGTCTTGGAATCTTGTCACACTAGTCTAATATACACCACTGTAGATATTCGTACCCCATTCTATCACGCCTGTTTTATATTAGACTAGTGCTAGCAGGGAAAACTCTTAGTTACTGTTGTGTCATGGTGGGGAGTGTTTGTTTTAGTAAGATTTTTACTGCGCTCGCAACTGCATAAGATCATTATATGATTATAGTGCCAAACGGTGGATGTCAACAGAGAAATCCAAATGGAAAATCGGGCTTACTCTGCTCACCTCTCTAGCCTCAACAGCACAAAGTCTGCTTCGATTATCAAGGCACCCAGGAAATAGCAGTTCACAAGAGAGTGACAAACATACAAAAAGAAGTAGAGGAAAAATGATGATAGCAAGGATGAGGAAAAAAAAATAGCAGTTACCCTTATGTTGTTCCGGCACAGCATGAGCATAACATTGATAAATCAGCCAATTTACAGTTCTACTGTGCTTAAGAACATGTTAATACCCCCCGCCCCTTGGGGAATGGCCGAAAGACACTACAGTCAGTAGCACTGCCCTGGTGGGAGGGGGTGGGGATCGGGGGTGTTTACCACCACAAACCGTAATTTATAAAGACAAGACAGTAACCAACCTAAAAGAGACACTTATTTTTCTGATTCTGAATAAAGATTTTTCTCTTAGTGAACTGTGTAAAGGTATAAGAGGTAATGCTGAGAAAACAAGTAGACTTGTTGGTCGCCACTTTGCAGGGTTCTGGTTTCGAGCTAGGCTTAACTTGTTTTTGCTCAAAGACACATTCTAGTGACCACCTTGACGCCACAGCCATACTTCTGGTCTCAAACAGTGCTTTAAATTGCATATCATTATGATTTTTTTCTCTCTCTTTTTTCTCTCTTTTAGCTTCATATGATTAAAACTAGATTCTATGACATTATGTTCTCCTTTGAGCTCGAATTTTAGCTTTGTATTGTTGACAGAGTTTTCATGCTAACCTTTAAAAAGCTCATGTGTTTTAAGACACTAAAAAGAAGCCTTTTTACATATCAAATTGAATTTACTAACCACCCAACTTTGCTGGTTGCTGTAGCTCACTTCTTCATCAAATTGACCATAATTTTTGTCTTTCGCTCTGTAGAAAAGGTACATAACTCTTGCAGAGTGTTGGTGCCCATACAAGTATACATCAGTTGCTTCCCTGAATGAGGTCAGCCGGAAAGGTTAAAACAATTCAGCACAGTTTACATAATAATTATTTATTAAGTCTGTACGTGCTGAGTGGAACGTTTGAGGTCTGATTTATCGGCTTGTATTGCTTATACTTTTCAATTTCAGTTTTGGAGTATCTTAGTTTGTCAGTAGAGTTGCTTCTGATTGTGACTCGCTGAAAGCTAAATTACTTCCAACAAAAGACTACTTTTGTATAGAGTGAAATACGTTGAACACTGTCTTGAAGCTTTATATTTCAGTTTACATCCATTGAAATTTTAGCTAGTGTCGTGGAGTTTAACAAGTTTTAAGGACACGTATTCGGTCTTGTTGGTGTCATTTTGGAGTATGGTAAGTATGGTCCTGATACAGATATCCATAGGTCTGTTCTTTGATTATCAGGCCCAGTAGTTTTATGCAAGAAAAATTCTGAAATTATGCAAACTGAGCATAAAAAGTGAAATTATGCCATTCTGTTAATTTTAACAAAGAATGATAAAGGAAAATAATCAGAATTTATGCAAATAATGATCAAATTTTGCTAATTTATGCGGGGTGCATAAATGCACGGGGACAGGATTATTCAGGAAATTTTCAAAGCTCTCAATCTATGGGAGAATAGAAAATGAATTTGGAGGTTCCGCTTCGTATCCTTTACTGTGTTGAAAGCTGCGCTAAACTCATGCTACACCAAGCCAGTATTAAAGCTGTTATGTCAAGATTTCACAAAGCTTCGCCGTTTGATAGCTATTCTAGAGTGAATTCCTATCGTGTTAAGAAGGATATTATCTCAAGGAGAAATTCGAGCATAGCGAAGATGGCCTACAGTACCCACCAGGCTTGTTAACGCGAGAGAGAGAGAGAGAGAGAGAGAGAGAGAGAGAGAGAGAGAGAGAGAGAGAAAGAGAGAGAAAGAGAGAGGGGAGAGAGAGAGAGAGAGAGGGAGAGAGAGAGAGAGAGAGAGAGGGGAGAGAGAGAGAGAGAGAGAGAGAGAGAGAGAGAGAGAGAGAGAGAGAGAGGGGGGGGGGAGAAAGAGATTAGCAGGGGAGACAGATATAGGTAGTTAGGAAGGCAGGTAGCTAGATACGTAAGTAGGTAGATAGATAGAGCTTGGACGGAGTAACTATATAGGGAGAGGCCCTAACGTTGCGTCGCCCGCTCAACAGTTCCAACCAAGTTGAAGCCGAAAGGGCGGAGCTTATCGGGCCTGCCGCCATCTTTGTAAGTTCAAAACAATGCAGCGTACGCAGCGTAATCTCCTTTCAAAACAAGCTGCTCGGACTCCATTGTCTCTCAAAATTTCTTTGTCAATGTTAATTACAGCATTATAAGCACTCACGTACAGTTGTAATGTAATAAGGATGTTAACAAATCTTACTTGCATCAAATTACCAGCTCATTTAGTCGAATATTTACAGTAATACGTGTACTATGTATACACATTGTGATGGTAAGATATTCTGTTTTACATGTTTTAGAGACGAAATTGGGATAATAAGGATCAAAACAAAATTATAAACGGGATGATAACATTTGCTGAGTTTTTGGTAGTCGAACTTCATTATTTTTACAAAAAACGAAGACTTCTTGATAGTAACAATATAATAAGGACAGCAAGAAATCTTACTTGCATCAAATTACCAGCTCACTCAGTCGAACATTTGGTAATACATGTACTATGTATACACATTGTAACGGTAAGATAATTTTTAAAAACTTGTTTTAGAGAAGAAATTGGGATAATAAGGATCAAAACAAAAATATAAACGGGATAACAAAATTTGCAGACTTTTCGGTCATAGAACTTCATCAGTGCAAAATGATGTCATCACTGACATTATTTTTACAAAAACGTAGTCTTCTTGACTTAAACTTACAACAGAATATATTTCTAACAAATTTGAAAATGATTACACAAAAGATGGTAGTGAGGGTGGGATGGGATGTGCGAAGAATGAGGAAGGAGAGGGCAAGGCAGATAAGAGTGAAGTATGATGGTGGAAATTACCCCCCCCCCCACACACACACACAAAAAAAACAAGAATAAAACAGCCCCCCCCCCCCCCAAATAAAGCGAGGAGGGAGGGGCACCCTTTAAAACACCAAGACACTTTATCTAAATTTTACAAAATACTGTTAAGGGTATTGAAAAATTAATAGAGAATTTGAAATGATAGGCTTATAATAATAAGATTTTCAAAACAGATTGCACTAATTTATGACATTTCACTCTTGACAATGTCACATCCCATGTACAGACAGACGACACATGGCATCAAAAATGTTATTCACACACCAAACACACTTCAATGACATTCTTTGAAGGCACTGTCGAACCTCCGACGAGACTTAAAAAAACAGCAAGGAATTTACTTTTGACACATTGGAGTCAACAAAGGCACCGATGCAGGTTTCACATTTTCAAATGCTTTGTCAACCTTAACAACACAAAACCAGCAATGTAAGCAACATGCAGAGCAAATTGA